TGTTTTATACCACAGAAGCAAAACTGACAAATGCTGTGGTATAAGCAACTTTGCATAATAATCAAATTGTTCTAAAGAATTTGGAGATTCTGGACAAGAAATAAGGCCTTGTAATTAATCAAAAGGTATTCCCTGATAGGTCCAGCTATGTGAAGTCATAATGGTTTAATCACAAATACGGGATCAGGCTAAATTTCAACAAGCATTAACTCCGATTTACCTTGTGACAAATTCCTATTTAAACAAAGAAAGAAAAATGTCATTATTGCAGTTTTAAATAAAAGATGAAATGCAATTCAAGATTTATATCCTCTCTTTCAATCACACTTTATATAACATGACCTTACTGAAAGGCAACCAGAGAGATTTGTTCCTCTGTCATCTGTGTTCAGAGAGAGAACTAGTAAATGCAAGGTAGATGAAATCAGCCTGTTGTTGCTGTTTCATCTCTGGCTGATGGCTGGGACCAAGCTGCTCTTCATCTTGTCCCAGAGTTTCTGGAAGTGAACAGGCTGGAACCTTTTTGTCAGTTTTGGTTTTCTTCCTTTTGTTGGTAGTGGAAACCAGAAGGTCTCCCCTGCCCCATTTCCATATTCTGAGGCAAGGTTAATTTTTAACAATTATCAGTTTAATCGAAAGCAATTTTTAAAAAACTGCTTCCACAATAAGGTTTTCTATCCTCACAGTTGCAAAATACATGAAGGCTTAAACTCAAAGTATCAATAATCAGTTTTATTTGAGCTAACTGGGAAAAAATAGTTCCGTGGTTTAGAGATCGCACACACTAGCAAATTCAGCATAGACGTTGTTTAGTTATTTCATAGATTTTTACACTGCCCCATTAGTGTGAGGCACTATTCTGGGTTCACAAAAGAGGTAATTGAACAGCAATAACAATACCGTAAATCAAATAATAAGAATACTAAAATAAAAACAATACTCTCCATTAAAAACATCACTAAGCCAAGACAGCATAAACTTTGCCTGTTATAGGGCAGGCAGGTGAAGTGGCAAATTCATGAGATTGCTATCAAAAACCTCAGTAAAGAGCCATCTCTCAAGCAACCTCTTGAAAATAGGCAGAGAGGGGACCAAGCACAGTTTGACCGGGAGGCAGTGCCGCAGCTAAGAAGACCTGACTTCTAGTGGAGGTTTTCCTGGCCTTTTTTGGTGTGGCTAGCCAGAGAAGCTTTCCTTGGGAAAATCTGCTGGCATAGATAGATACCGGGGGAAAATGCTTCGTAACAAGGTCCTAAACTATGGAGGTCTTTACAGATGAGCACCAAAATCTTGAACTTGACCCAGGATATCACAGGTCACCAGTGCTGGAGAGCCAAGACTGAGGAGATGTTAAAATTTACTCACACCCACCACCAGCCTGGCGCCACATTCTGAATCTACTGCAATCTCTGGATTAGTCTCATGGAAAGCCCCAAGAACAAATCCTGCCAAAGTAATTTGATCTCATTTTTTGATCAGGGAACCTCCCTGATAGAGGGAATTTGCAAAGCGTGCTAGCCCCCCTCTATTCAGCACTGGTTAGGCCTCACCTTGAGTACTGTGTCCAGTTCTTGACACCACACCACACTACACCACTCTCGGAAGGATAGAAGGCTGAGTCAACCTTGAGCTGGCTACCTGGGATTGAACCCCAGGTCATGAGCAGTTTTGGCTGCAGTACAGTAGTTTAACCACTGCGCCACGAGGCGCTGTAGACGTAGTATATCTTGACTTCAGCAAAGCTTTTGACAAAGTGCCCCATGTTATCCTGATTAGCAAGCTAAATACGCGTGGTCTGGGTAGATCAAGTGTCAGGTGGATACACCATTGGTTACTGAATAGTACTCAAGAGAGTGATGATTAATGGGTCCTTCTCTAACTGGGAGGAGGTAACAAGTGGGGTAACCCAAGGCTCAGTCCTGGGCCCAGCGCTCTTCAATGTTTTTATTAATAGTGTGGATGAGGTAGTGCAGGGAATGTGTGTCAAATTGGTGGGTGTTAAAACCTGCCACCTTTCCTGCTGATAGGAAAAACAGCCTTTAATTTTTTCTATTAAAAATATTTTTGAATCCCCACCACCATCTGTCGCAAACTCATTTCTTCACTCATCAAAGGCAGGTATAGTTCAATAATTTCACTGAGCCGAAAACAACAGAATGAAATTCAACAGAAGTGCAAAGTACTGCACCTCGGAAAACGAAACCAATTACATAGTTGCAAGATGGGGAATACCTGGCTCAGCAAAACTACAAGTGAGAAGGATCTTGGAATTGTTGTTGGTCACAAACTAAATGTGAGCCAACAGTGTGATGTGGCTACAAAAAAGCAAATACTATTTTAGGTTGCATTAATAGTATAGTTTCCAAATCCCACGAGGTGCTAGCCCCCCTCTATTCAGCACTGGTTAGGCCTCACCTTGAGTACTGTGTCCAGTTCTTGACACCACAGTACACCACCAAGAAGGATGCTAACAAATTGTAATAAGTGCAGAGGGCAACAAGGATGATCAAGGGGCTGGAAACCAAGCCTTATGAAGAAAGGCTGAAAGAACTTGGCAGGTTTAGCCTTGAGAAAAGAAGACTTAGGGGGGA